TAAGGAGATCCCAATGTGCATTCAAGTCTGAGATGCACTGCTCCAGAGGACCTGGGATAAGACAAATGTCAGCCTGAAAAAAGAACGGGATTTGAAGTCAGGAGACCTATGTGTCAGTTTTAATTCTGCCACTCACTGGCTGTCCAAATTGAGCAAGTCATGCAATCACCTGGATCCTTTTTTTTGTAAATGGGGTGCTCTAATAACTACAGAATGGTGTCAAGATCCATGGTATATGTTCTGGAGCCAAACTGTCTAACCTTAAATCTTGAGTTCATTTATTAACTATGAAGCTTTGGGTGAGTTGCTTCACCCAAATCTGTGGGCTTCAGTCTCTTTATCTGTAAGACAGGGTATCATAATAATGACAGACATTGAGAATTTTAAAATGGGCCGGGTACAGTGGTTCATGCCTGTAATCTCGGCACTCTGGGAGGCAGGCTGATCACCTGAGGTCAGGAGTTGAAGACCAGCCTGGCCAACATGGTGAAATCTCATTTCTACTAAAAACACAAAACTTAGCCAGGCATGGTGGCACATGCCTTTAATCCCAGCTACTCAGGAGGCTGAGGCAGGAGAATCGCTTGAACCCAGGAGGTGGAGGTTGCAGTAAGCCGAGATCATGCCACTGCACTTCAGCCTGGGCAACAGAGTGAGATTCTGTCTCAAACAAAAAAAAAAAGATTTTTAAAATGAAGTAATTAATGTAAATCACACAGCACAGGGCCTGGCATCATCTAAGTTCACTGTACATCTTGCTATACTCTGACTTCCTGTATTCTCTTTCAAGAACAGAAAGAAGGCTGGGCGCGGTGGCTCATGCCTGTAATCCTAGCACTTTAGGAGGTGGAGGCAGGTGGATTCACTTGAGGTCAGGAGTTTGAGACCAGCCTGGCCAACATGGTGAAGCTCTGTCTCTACAAAAATACAAAAAAATTAGCTGGGTATGGTGGCGCACGCCTGTAATCCCAGCTACTCAGGAGGAGGCTAAGACAGGAGAATCACTTGAACCCATGAGATCACGCCATTGCACTCCAGCCTGGACAACAGAGCATTATTTCATCTAAAAAAAAAAAAGAACAGAAAGAGACCTCTAAAATAGAGCTGCCTGGAGGCTAACTGAAGACTTCCACCTTTGGTGTTTATCATAGTATACACACTTTCAACAATGGACACAGATGCTCAAAGACTGGAGCTCTAACCTCTAAACTACCAGACAGGCATGAGATTGGCTCCATGATATTATCTTAGCCATCAACCAGTTCCCTTGTGTGTATTCCCCATTCCTTTGTTGTCTATTCCAGTTATACTTAACTCTGGGGACTCCCTTCCCTGTGAAAATCCACAGGGCAGCCCTATACAGAGTAGTGCCATCCAGATAGGAGATGATCACTTGTAACTGGTTTTCCCTTTCTTACAGGAACTCACACAGTTCAAAGAGTGGAATGTTATCAAGGCATTGCCTGATGGGTCTGTCACCACACTCACTGGAGGGAATTAATCTAGGAAGAGGCAGGTTCCAGGGACTATCAGCAACATACCAAACCACAGCGAGATATCAAGCATGACTCAGCTCCTGCCCACTGCAATTACTCAGGACCTCTGCCCTTCAGATGTGGGAAAAAGCCCAGCAGTGTCTTGCAGTAACTGCTGCTCAGGTCAGGAACATGACCTAGGAAGTCCTTTGCTAAGGGGAGGCTCAAACTGGATTTCAGAAGGCCCACCCGACCAGGATGACTGAAACAAACTGTGGACTGGGTACCAATCCAAAGGATAATATTGTAGCATCAGGAATAAAATAAATTTCAACTCAATAAGAAGCCTAACTTATGCATTTAAAATGTTTGCAGGTGGATATTAGTGGTGATCCTGGGCAAAGTTGGCGCTAGGCACAGGCACAGCTGTGCAAGGAGATGGCAAAAGGGAAAAGTCCAAAAGGGGCACCAGCATGTTCCATAGTGTGCGAGAGAGGAAAATGAAAACACCATTTGCCAGGTGCCTGCCAAGGGATATACCTGGGCCTGCAGCTCTAGAGATGTTCCTCTGAACAAAATAGGAGCCATCTAGGACAAGTGGTACCTGGCTATGGCAAAGAGGAGGGAACTTAAGCCCAACGCGTCAGTAAATGATGGATTTGAGCCTTCTCTTCTAATGGATTAGTAAATCCCAACAGTCAATATGGGGGGGGGTTGGAAAAACTTTCCTGTGTTTCTTGATCCCCAAATGCCAATGTCATGAATGGCAAATGCTAGCGTCCCAATAATGGTGTGCCTTTCAGGAAACCCCATCCAAAGATTAAGCCCCTTCTCCTAATGTTCAAGCACCTGTTCCTGCAGAATCGGGATATGAAGAGAGGCTGGCAAAGACCACAAACCAGGTGGTTCTGCAGCTTGTGGGCGGGGGACGGGATGTCTATGCTGTCCATAGGACACTGTCACACTAACTCTATTAACCCTTTCCTACCTAGAGATAGTGATATTGAAGCAGGAGTGGCAGGGAACAAACTTCTCGAACACCTAACTGAGGAAGGAAGTGGCTTTCTACTCAGCCAGAAGCTGCGGGGGGCCACAGTCTTATTTACTGAGCTCCTCAAGCTGCAGCTTCTCTCCCCTTTTACAGGCTTACAACACTAAAGGGGAAACTGAGGTGGAACTATGTCATTGCCCATTTGCTGGATGTCCGACCTTACAATCCTTTGGCTTCATTGATTTGCTCATTCCCAGCAGGGGAGGGTGCTTGCAGAGACAAGACAAAAGCAACAAGCTGTTTGTTGGCAGAGATGTTTCCAGGAGGGAGCCTGGTCTGTGGAGACATGGGGGCGTGAACCAGTGCTGGGCTCCAGCCTGCAGGGATAACATTCATTTGCAGCTCTTTCAAGGTTAACAGATAGCAGAGATGCTGGGAACTAAAAAGGGAGTCATTTTCCCAGATCCTTGGTATTTTATTGTGTTTTATTTTTCCTTCTTCACCCTCCTTCCCATCTGGAAGCGGGGGAGGGAGGAGGTGAAATAGAAGGAGGCATGGGGGATCTCCCCTCTCAATATGAGAAAAGAAGTTTATGAATTCACCTCTCCTCTAGAAATAAATAGGGTGGTATCTCTGAACCTGGCCACCATTAACAGATACAAATAAAATACAGAGTGGGTAATAATGCAATGCCCATATGCTCAAGAAAAAACAGGCTGGCACAAATAAGGAAAGGGGCTTCATTTCTGAAAATACCAGCTCCACTTAACACTGGATACTCTCCTGCCTGTGGAAATCCACAGGGAGAGAGAAGCAAGTTTCCTAGTGTTGAGAGAGGACAGTGAAAACCAACATTTACCAGGTGCCTGCTATGGGCTATTCCCGGGCTGAGGCTCTAAAGATGTTTCTTTGAACAATAACAGCAGCCATCTGGGATAGGTGGTCCTCAGCTATGGGAGAAAAGAGGGGAATGAGGCCCAAGAAAGTGGTGGATTCCAGTCTTCTTTTCCAATGAATTAGTAGACACCAATGGCCCAGGCAGGGTGTTTCTTAATTTTTGTATACTAACATCATGAATAGCAAATGCTGGCATGGCAATAAGAGCTTGCCTTGCATCTGGTCACATCTAAAACACCAGTTAATTCTCCTTTTGCAGAAATACCTGTTCCTGCAGAATCAGGATATGGAGAGATGCTGACCAGGGCCACAGACCAGGTACTTTTGCAGTTTGCAGTTTCTCTATTGTCCTCAGGACACTGTCATACTATTAACCAATTCCTGCCTAGTGATAGTGATGTCTGAAAAGAAGGTTACCAGTTCACATCTCCTCTAGAAATAAATAGGTTGGTATCTCTAAACCCGGTCATCAGCAACACATACACATGAAAATCTGAATGAGTGATAATTAACTGTTCACATGCCCAAGGGAAAACAGGTTCTTTTCTTAGGACTTGTACAGGAGGCTTAGACGGGGTGACTTCCCAGGGGATGGTTGTACTGAGTTTGCAAATTTGGGCTGAGACTCATTCAAACTACCTGGGGAATGCAAGTTAACCTGCAGAGCCGAAAAAGGAGACAGATCCATGTTCAAATGGAAATTAAATACATGTTTGATGGATTCCATGATCAGCTTTGACACTGTTTATAGAAACAGTGGCTGGCACCAGTTGGCTCCAGCATAGAAGGGATTGCTTTGTACCTGGTGGCGACCCTGCCATGCCTGATCCAAGGAAGCCTGCTCGGTGACCAAGCAGGCCCGGAAGGATGGAGAACACACTTGGTCTGTTTTCCCCAGGCCCAAACAGAAAACAGAAAACTTTCCTCAGGGCCACTACAGGCCTTTTCAGCGGGCCATGTTGTCACTGGCTGGCATTTTCAGAGAAAACATCTCTCTGCTATTTACAGTGCGTTTTCAAAAAAGTAAAATCCAGATTCTCCCAGGGTGTCTAGGATCTTAGGAACTGGAGTCCCTGCATAGAGAAAAATCAGAATGAGGGTTTTTCCCTTCATTTCAAGAGACTGCTGGATCTGAAGCCCAGCTCAAAAGCCCATCCTCCAGGCCACTTCCCCTCCTGCGCTAGACTCCTTGATCTTAGGACTCTGAGAGCCAGGCCCAGGGTCGGGTTCCCTGAGACCCGCCTGGACCCTACATGGCCACGCCTCCGAGCGCTGTTGACGCCGGAGGCGCGGCTCTTTTTCCTGTTCACAGGAGGGGAAAAAAGCGGGAACAATGGCTTTCGGGACAGAAGGACGTGAACACCAAATGCCGAAGCGACTGGGAGGGTCGCAATGCAGGAGGACGAAGTGGGAGAAGGGGTATTTCGGCCTCCCTGCGGGCGGGAGCTAAGCCGCTCAAAAGTCCGCTCGCCTCTGGACGCCAAGGGATGACCCCCTGGGCCTTTTGTACCACTTGTCGCGGAAAATGGTCACACGCTTTTGTCCCCAAACCGAACACTATCAGAAACATATGACCCCTGGAAGCCGCCATGTTGGCCATTGGCAGTGGCGCACTCACTCCCGTGCTACTGCGCGTGCGCGACGCTGCGACATGCTCCAACCCCGTCGCGTGTTCCCAGGGGCGCTGGGAAGCGGAAGTGCTCGGCTGACCTGGGAGGGCGGTTCCTGGTTCACACTGGCTGCTGTCGTCGGTCTCTGAGGTTTCAGGCTCTTGGCGGTGAAGACGGACGAGGAGGTGGTGATGGTTTTGATGGGGGACGGGGACTGACGGGGCCGTGGGGTCACGGGGCCATAGGTGAACGCCTTTGTGGGTGACAGGGTGGCTCTATAGCCCAACTCAAAAGCCCATCCTCCAGACAACGTCCCCGCCTGAGACAGACCCCTTGCTCTCAGGACCCTCTGAGCCAGGCCCAAGGTCCGGTTCCCTGAGACCCGCCGGCCTGTGGGCATGAGTGCTGGGGGCGAGGTTCGGGGTCAGCGAGTGACTGGTTGATTGAGTCACTCAGCGCCTGTTTCCTGAGCGCCTAATAACTGCCAGGCAACCTTGCAAATGTTTCACATTAACCTCCACAGGAGCCCTGTGCAGTAGTAGCATGATTATCTTATCTTCATTTTATAGAGAGAAAATGGCTTAGTGTGGCTTGGCAACCTGTCCAAAGTCACATAGGTAGCAACCTGAGGAATGTTTTTTTTTCTTTTCCTGGGCTTTTCATGTTTATTGTTTCCTGTGTGTCTCCCCCGCTAGAGTAGAAACTCTGCAGGAGCTGGGACTTTGAGATTTTGTTCATTGATGCATTTCCAACACAGAGAATGGGCACATGAAAGGCACTCATTTCTTCAGTGAATAAAAGTGGCACAGCAGGCAATCAGTTCGTTCCAAAGCCCGGACTCAGGAAGGCAGGGTTTCACTCACTGAGGATAACTGAGCTGTGCATGAATGTTAACTCTTAAAGCTAGAATGAGACATTTTCCCTCTTCTGTTGGCTAAAAACCTTTCGATTTTACTCAACTTCACTGTAGGAAGGGAGCGTAGGTGTTGCTAATTGACTCTCCCGTGGTCATTGTGTTTTCAGGGTCACAGTGCAGACCTGAGACCGCTGCTCACGACTCCAGACTCCAGTTTATCTGTGCCCCGGCTTCCTCACTTAGTCTCAGAAGACCTAGGCTGAGGCCCCAGGAGGAGGTGAGTTCCCTGGGTCACAGGCAGAGATCTGGTGATGGTCCCAGCTGGGGTGTGTTTGTCTCTGAATCCCTTGGTCCTGCCTCCTTGAACACAAGAGAGGTATGCTGAGCTGAGGCAAGTTGGAGGAGAAGCCTCAGCCAGATCCCAGACCTAGTTCCTCAGGGCAGAGAAAGGAAACTCACAATACAGCAGGTCTTAGAAGAGCTGGACCCATAGTGGCCTTTGTCCCTCCCTTTAGCTGAGACAGAGCAAAGCTGGCTCAACTTCCAGGTGCCATCAAGGACCATGTGACAGTACAGTTTGATTCCTGCTGGAAGAGGGACAGGTGAAAATCACAGGTGGATGGTGGCATGGATGCCCCCCCACGGGGCAGGTGCCCTGCTGTAGTACCTGCAAAGGCAGGATAAGGCTGGGAAGGATCACAGCCAGCCACAGAGGACTTGGCCTCTCCTAGTACACCTATTCTCTTGCCATTGGCTGTTTCTCAATTTGACTTGGCCCCACACCATCAACCAGGCACCTGCTTCCAGGGAAAATGCAGAGTCTCCCTCCATCCTGACCAAAGTGCAAGAAATAGATTATATGTTTATAGAATTTCAGGGTAGTCTCTAGGTATGCTAATATCTAGCTCTGCTGCCTTATTTTAATGTTTAATGAAAGTGCACTGAGGGACATGACCTATTAACCTACACGGAGCTGAACCCTGTTGTCCTGATGCTGTCGCAGTGATTGCTGCAGTATGAAACGGTTACTCTGCACAGAAGCTCCTTGCTGGAACTTTCTTTTGAAAAACTGCCAAAGAAGGAGCCTGGCAATCAAAACACAGATTATGAGAAAGGAGGAAGTAGTGGGGTGGGAACAGGGTAGGTGGCCAGTTAGAGAGGCAGATGCAGGGGAGCAGGCACAGTGGTTTTCAGCCCCTCACAGAACTGAAGCTGCTGGGCTGCTACCCACCCACCCCCGCACCGCACCCCCCTTGCAGCCCTCTTAGCCCTGGTTGGGCTCTTCCTCCAAACCACATCCAGAGATCCTACTCATACACACTTGCAGAGGGTCTTTTCACCTCTAGGAATCGGTTTGATAAGAGGTGATTTTTAATAATTTAAAATTTTTGTTTTACTAGTAATATTATTTGTCAAAAATTGAGAAAATGGATATAAAAGAAAATTGAAATCACCACTCAAAAGTAACCAACATCAGCATTTTAATAAATCCTCTGAGACATCATATATGTGCCTATTGATCATCAAAAATGAGATGATACTTTGCTTGCTTTCTTGGAACCTGCTTTTAAACACATTAGGAACTGAAAACAAATTCCTTGGCATTTTTAAAGCCTGTTCAGTATACCTGCTTTTGCATGTGTCATATTTTTTAACTGTGTCCTCTTTGCTGGACATTTAGTTGCTTCCAATATTTTGTTTGTTTGGTTGGTTGGTTTTTCTTTAGACAGGGATTCCCTCTGTTACCCAGGCTGGAGTGCAGTGGTGCCGTGTTGGCTCACTGCAACCTTGACTTCCTGGGATCAAGTGATCCTCCCACCCAGCCTTCAGAGTAGGAGAGACTACAGGTGCATGCCACCATGCCTGGCTGATTTTTGTAGAGATTAGGTTTTGCCACGTGGCCCGGGCTGGTCTTGAACTCCTGGGCTCCAGTGATCTGCCCACGTTGGCCTCCCAAAGTGCTGGGATTATAAGCGTGAGCCACTGTACCTGGCCCACTTATTAATATTTTAATGGTAGAAATGACTGCAGTTAACATTCTTTCAGCTTTTCCACATTTAGGATTGTTTCATTATGACAAATGACTAGTAATAAAACTCTTAAGATAAAGGAGATGTTAAGTTGTTACTGGCTTCTAAAGTAGATATCTTTAGATACAAGTCATACATCTGTCCAGTAAAGGAAACAAAATTTCATGTGTAAAACCTACATGATCTTAGTAGAGTGTCATGGAAACAGGCCGGAGCTACCAGGTCATGTTTTAGACCATTCTCCCCAGGGTATAAGGGTAATTATTATCAGGATGATAATGATGGTCTAACACCTACCTAGTGTACTCTCCTAATTTTGCCTTTATAGATCTCCATCTTTATCCAGAGCAGAGCAGGATGGCCATGTCCCAGGTAAGTGCCTAATTTACCCGTACTTTGTTAGCAGTGAAATTGAGGCAAGGTTTGGAATCTCTATAGTAGACTTGAAAATACCAATTATCCCTTCTTCTCTGGCTGTTTTCTATTAAACTTGTTCTCAACGTCTGGTTTCTCTAATCCTTCCCCTCACCAGGAGAGAGGAAAAACAATTCCTCTCTCTACTTCTTGTTCTTTTTTTTTTCTTTTCTTTTTTTTTGGAGACAGAGTCACACTCTATCACCTAGGCTGGAGTGCAGGGGTGGGATCTCAGCTCATTGCAGCCTCCACCTTCCGGGTTCAAGTGATTCTCTTGCCTCAGCCTTCCGAGTAGCTGGGATTACAGGTGCCCGCCACCACGCCCAGCTAATTTTTGTATTTTTAGTAGAGACAGGGTTTCACCATGTTGGCCATGCTGGTCTCGAACTCCTGACCTTAGGTGCCTCTGCCCACTTTGGCTTCCCAAAGTACTGGGATTATAGGCATGAGCCACCATGCTCTCTACTTGTTCTTCTGAGAACTGTACCTCATCTTTTCTTCATTTCCTTCTCACAGAAGATCGTTTAAATACATAGATTCATCTTGCTTTTTCCTTTTCTTCACTTCTAGATCGCTTGATCTTTTTTCATCATTCATATTTATAAGTTTGTACATAATGTTTTAATGTGCATAGAAAAAACCAGTAGCCGAAAGGATTCCATTCCTTCTCTCCCCTGTACCATGTTCCTCGTCAGAGATGCCCACTGTTAACAGTTGGGTTAAATGGTCGGGTAGATGCATTTATGTCAATTTAATGAGCTAAAAACATATACATATTTTTTTTTATGCTTTTACACAAATGGCATCATACTCCCATGCCCATCTTCCTTTTTGCACCTGATTACTTTCAGGGTGGTATTCCTTGTCAATATATAAAGATGTTTTAAATTTCTATTTCATAGTATGGCTGTATTAATATCATGTAACTATTTATGGATATTTAAGTTTTTAATTTCTTTTTACTATTGTAAACCATGTTTCACGAACAACTTTCTCTGTATCTGCTTGCTCTGTGGTACCAGTGTTTACGGAGGATATACCTGGAAGTCAGGTTTTGACTAAAAGGTACTGAGACTTAAATTTGCCCTCTGAAATCCTTTATAATTACTCCTTTCACTAAATATAAAGACCAGATAATTTCTGTGTTCGAATTTTCCAGGCTATTAAAGATGAAAAGGCACCCAATTCATTTTGGGAAGCCACTTAACCTGAAATTTGAGGAAGATACTAAAAAAAAGAATATTAGGCCGGGCACAGTGGCTCAAGCCTGTAATCCCGCACTTTGGGAGGTCGAGGCAGGAGGATCACATGAGGTCAGAGGTTTGTGACCGGCCTGGCCAACATGGAGAAACCCAGTCTCTACTAAAAATACAAAAATTAGCCAGGCATGGTGGTGCATGCCTGTAATCCCAGCTACTCAGGAGGCTGAGGCAGGAGAATCACTTCAACCTGTGAGGTGGAGTTTGCAGTCAGCCGAGATCGCACCACTGCACTCCAGCCTGAGTAACAGAGAAGACCCTGTCTCAAAAAAAAAAAAAAAAAGAAAGAAAGAAAAAGAAAATTATAGACCAGTTTCCTTTAACAATATAAATGTCAAAATATTAAAAATACTCTAAATAGAACATTAACAAATTGAATTGGACATTTTAAAAGCAATGCATGCACATGGTAAAAAAAAAATTCAAACAAAAGCTTTGTTCAACAAAAAAAGTTTTTTGTGGTTTTTGTTTTTTGATGCAGGGTCTGGCTCTATCGCCCAGGCTGAAGTGCAGTGGCACAACTTCAGCTCACTGCAACCTTGGCCTCCCAGACTCAACAATCCTCGCATCTAAGCCTCCCAAGTAGCTGGGACTACAGGTGCATGCCACCATGCCCAGCCAATTTTTGTATTTTTTTGTAGAGGTGGTGTTCTGCCATGTTGGCCCAGGCTGGTCTTGAACTCATGAATCTCTTTCTCTGCTTATGTACAATCACTTGTTCTCTCCTGCATGTGCTCTCTTTCTCTCCTTAACAAGTTACAGTACATCCTGGTCTTTGTAATCCTTTTTTTAAATGATCTTTTCACTTGTATTAACTCTACACCAGGGTTTCTCAGTGTGACGCTATTGACATTTTGGTTGAGGTCATTATTTGTCATGGGTTGCTTTCCTGTGCATTGTATGTGTAGCAGCATCCCTGGACTCTCTCAACTAGATGCCAGTAGTGCTCCCTCCTCCAGTTTGGGCAACCAAAATATCTTGTCATTGCCAAATACCACCTGAGGAATAAAATTATCCAGTGTTAAAAACAGTGACCTATCCCCTTTACAAAAATGGCTCCTTGATATTCCATTTGATGGCAATACCACTGATTATTTACCTTTCTCTTAATAATAGATATTTAGGATATTCCTCTTTTTTTCTTTTTTTTTTTAAAGGAGGGAGGGGGAGGAGGAAGGAAGGGAGGAAAGAAGTCAGGATATTCCTAATCTCTTGCTACCATAAACATAGCAGTGTATAGTACATTCCCATTGTGTGTATGTGAGAACATTTATAGGATAACTTTCTAGGTCAAAGTTATATGCATCTTGAATTTTGATTCAGAGCTGTCAAATGACCTTCCGATAGGATGTTCTGATTTGCATTGCTGGCAATATTATAATGCCTCTTCCCGTAAATGGGCAATCACAGTGTATTATCCACTATGATTTTTGCCATTGTGAGGGAGTAAAGAGTAGTGTATTTTAATTTGCTTTTCTTGATTTGAGTGTCTTTTAAAATGTTTAACTACCATTTGTACTTTTTTCTTTCAAGTATTTATTCTAGTCATTTGCCCCCTTTTCTCTTGGGTGTAGAATTACTTTGATGGCTAGATGTTAGCTCCTTGGGTTAACTTAAGCAAATGAGATCTCTGTCATATATGTTGTAAATATTTTTCATAGTTTATTATTTGCTTTGATTTGTCTTAAACATATTGGGGAGTGGACACTTAATGTGTTTTTAACGTCAAATTTCACACTTTTGTGCTTTTAGAGTTCTTGTATTGCTTAAATAGGATTCTGTTAGTTGAGATTATAAAAATGGCATTTCAGTTATGTGGAAAAAGTGGTTACTGAATGATGGTGGCACCGTTGAGTCTCCATTTGGATGGAAAGAAAGTTAAACTCTTCTACATCATATACATGTCAATTCCAGATTGATCAAATACCTAAATATATATTTGAAAAATTAAATGAAAATTTAAGAGGATATTGGGATAACCTTGCTTAGTGCAAGAAACTTTTTTTTTTTAATGGTACAATGTTTTTTGTTTTGTTTTTGAGACAGAGTCTTACTCTGTGGCCCAGGCTGGAGTGCAGTGGCATAATCTTGGCTCACTGCAACCTCTCTCTCCTGGGTTCACGCGATTCTTCTGCCTCAGCCTCCCAAGTAGATGGGACTACAGGCATGCACCACCACACCCGGCTAATTTTTGTATTTTTAGTAGAGACTGGGTTTCACCATATTGGCCAGGCTGGTCTCGAATTCCTGACCTCATAATCTACCTGTCTTGGCCTCCCAAAATACTGGGATTACAGGTGTGAGCCACCGCGCCCGGCCCAATGTTTTTCTTTTAATGATAATTAGGATATCTTTAAATTAACTACTAAGTACACACACAAATAAGGAAACATAAGGAACGTCATAGCCCAAGTACTTCTGAAACTACTTCTTAGTTCCAAGCCCCAGCACATATCAATTATATGAATAAATTTTTAAAATTCAGAACCTGGATCTTTAAGACTAGTATAAAAAAAACCAAACAACTTGTTATTAACATAATAGCTGCAGTTATTAACTGCAAGAATACAGTGAAAAAGAGTCATACTAAATGTTAATGTTCTTATAACAGAATTATCCATATCACTTTATGGTAGCAAATTCTGGCAAGAAATGATCATTCATTTCTTATTAAAAATACTTATTTCTAAGATTGATCAGTTATACCACAAATAAAACCACAGTTTATTCAATAGAGCCCTTACCTTTCTCTTTTTTTCCTGAAAGATCTGTCATTTACAGGGAACTACTAATTTCAGATCAGTTACTTAAACCAGGGTTCTGCCTGTAAATTCACATCTTAACTTTATATATAGTAAACCCATATTCCCTCTCCAGCCTTGAAGCTCAACACTTTCACAAAGGGAACAACCTAAAATCATTGCATGTGAATCGTGGTTCTTACTTTTCTTCTACTTCATTTTTATTTCTATCTATTATTTGTTATTCTTCCTCGTCACCAAAAGTCTCTTCCTGCATGGTGGTAAAGGAGAGAGATCTAGCAGCCACTTCTGCGGCAAGGCCAGTAGTGAGGGTAAAATCCAGTGACAGCTGTAGCCATGCCAGCCTCTGCTTCACGGAGGTCTGGAAGGACTCCCTGGGAAGTGGAGGGGAGACCAGGATGGACCAGGCCAGACCACCTCCATCTGCTTGAGAATCATCTTTGCCCTTGCATTGGTAACATGTTCTCTCTTCTGCTCCTTGGAGAAAGACTTCATTTGCAGAATTGTCTTTATTTTTACCCTCTAGAGCAAGCTTGTCCAACCCATGGCCCACAGGCCACATCTAGCCCAGGACAGCTTTGAATGCAGCCCAACACAAATTTTGTAAACTTTCTTAAAACATTGTGAGATTTTGTTGCAATTTTTTTTTTTTTAGCTAATCAGCTGTCATTAGTGTTAGTGTATTTTATGTGTGACCCAAGACAATTCTTCAATGTGGCCCAGGGAAGCCAAAAGATTGGACAGCCCTGCTCTAGAGAGCCATCACATAAATACTCAGTCCTGCTTGTTGCATTGTCACTTGTGGAGTGTTTACTATTTTCCTCTTCAGTATCATTTTTACTGACTTTCCTGTATCTGAATTCATTGATGGTTCTGAATTACTTGTGTGTTTCACTAGGCCTACAGGAGACAAGGATTTCAACATAGCATGATCACT